ACTCAGTATCTGTTAGGTTGCTTATCTCCATTTCGCTTAGTTCTTTTATTGGGGTTTTGTTTTGTTCTTTCATTTGAGACCTGTTTCTTTGTCTCCTCATTTTGGCTGTCTCCCTGTGTTTGTTTCAGTGTATTACTTAATGAGAGGTATGGGGCTCGCTGAGACCCGATGCTGCTCATTTGAAAGAATTTAGGAAAAACCTGAAGCAGGATCCAAGACCGGCCAATCCCATGGTTTGGCCATAGCTTGGGTGGGCCTGAAAGTTGGGTGGGGCGGGGCCTCAGGGAGTCACCAGGGCGGGGCTACCAGTGTGAGCCAGGTTGCTGGAGTCCCATATATGGAGACTGTCTGCTGCCCCCGGGAAGGGCTCACCAAAGGAACAAAGGCCTCTGACAGCACATTTGTCCCCGAGAAAGCCCCATCTCCGGCCCTCGCTCCAGTGCCAAACAGCTCAGTTCTTCCCTGTATGTCTCTGGCGCCCGTGGAGCTGCCTCCCCTCCGAGCTTAGAGGGAGAGAGTCCGATAAGTCTGTGCGCGGGCCCTTTAAGGAGGTGCCTGGGACTCCAGCCGCTTCAGCTTCCCTGAGCCTCAGTTCCCGCTGGTTTTTCCAGCCAGAAGTTATGGGGACTTCCCTTCCTGGCACTGGAACCCTGAGCGAGGCACCTGGTGTGGGACGGGGACCCCTCAGTCCTCAGGAAGGACCTTCCCAGCCGCGGGAGCCTCCTGATTTTTATCCGCCACACTTGGGTGTGGGACCAGCCTGTTGCGCCCGCCGCCGCCCCTCGCGCCGCCGCCCCTCCTACCAGTCTGGATGTGGCTGCTGATTTAATTTCGTAGTTGTAGGATTTCCATTCAGCTTGATTTCAGGCGGTTTTGAATGATGGTGGTTCTGTAGTTTAGCTGTAACTTTGATGTGGTTGTGGGAGGACGCGATACCGCGTTTACCTACCCGCCATCTTGACCCAACACTTGTATTTTTCAACCAATGCACCATAATGTCTCTCATTATATTTGGTATCAAATTCTATTCAAACTGTTACTCCATCTCTGTTCTGGTTCATAACAGCCTATTATATCTATTTCCATCCTTCTATTTCAATTTTCCTGTCCTTAAGTGTGTCTCTTATAAACAATTTTTAATACAATCCAGAAATCTGAGTCCTTTGTTAACTTAATCCATTTACAAATTTTTGTAATCAGTGTTACACCAGAATTTCTGCCATCTTATTTTCCATTTACTATCTTTGTTCCTCTTTTTCTGCTTTCCACTAAATAAACTGAGTTTACCACTGATTTGGTTTACGTTTTCTTTATTTCTTATGGTGGTTTTTGTAACTATATTCATATTTGCTTCATTTGTATAACTTCCTCTTAACCAAAGAGGCAGTTTAACATGTGTGTATATATATAATGTGTGTGTGTGTGTGTGTATGTATGTATGTAATATATGTTTGTATATTTAATCCTCACCCGAGGATATGTCTTTATTGATTTTAGAGAGGGAGAGAAACATCTATGTGAGAAACATCGATTAGTCTCCTCTCATATGCACACTGACCAGGGATGAACCCACAACCTAGGTATGTACCCTGACCAGGAATCAAACCTCCAATCTTTTGGTGTACCAAACGCTCCAACCAACTGAGCCACCCAGCCAGGGCCAGAGGCTCTTTAGCTCTTATGTCTTAGTCTACATCTCCACTCTAATCTGTGGATGAAAAAATGGGTTCTATGCAAAGTAACCTCAAAGGGTGATCTGATAATAAATTCCTGGCTGGGTAGGTCATGGTGGGTAGTCACAACCCAGGCCTGTAACTTTAGTGAAAGGTTTTAAACCAGCCCTGTTCATTGTTCTTGTGCATCTAGGTTAACACGCCTTTGAAATACCAGAATAACCCTAGAAGGGGGCATTAACCCTCAAGAGAGCACTTAATCTTGTTAACCATCCTGTAATCTATTCCCTGCCTTACTTTCCCCCACTTCCTTGTAGTCTTCCTTAAATTCCCTCCTTAGTTTCAAATGCATAAAAGCTGCAAAACTGTCAGCATATTGTCAGCTTGGCTCATATCAACACCTAAAAATTCTCTCCAAGTTTTGATGTTTCTTACATTGACAAATCTTAATGACAATGCCTAGAGGTTTTTTTTGTTGTTGTTTTTTATCCTCACCCGAGGACATTTTTTCATTTTGTTCAGATATAGTGGGAGGGAGAGAAACATCAAACTTGAAAGGGACACATCGAGTGGCTGCCACCCACACAACCAACCAGGGCCAGGGACAAACTGCAACCGAGGTACACGCCCTTAGCGGGAACCGAACCCGGGTCTCTCCAGACCACAGTCCAACACTCCAACAGCTGAGCCAAACCAGCCAGGGCCACCTAGTTTTTATTGCTATAATGAAGTTTCTCTTTAAGATAACAGTAGCCCTGGACAGTTTGGATCAGCAGTTAGAGCATCAGCCCGTGGACCAAAGAATCACCAGGTTCGATTCCCTGTCAAGAGCACATACCTTGGTTGTGGGTTTGATCCCCAGCCCCAGTATTGGTAATACGGAAGGCAACCAATCGATATGTCTCTCACATTGATATTTTTCTATCTCCCTCCCTCCCACTCTATCTGTAAAAAATCAATGGAAAAATATCCTTGGGTGAGGATTTAAAAAAATAACAATAAACCTGACAATATTTAATCATCCTTCTTTCCATATCTCTTGTAGCATCTTTCAGATTTTATATCTCTTAATATTGCTCCTATTTGCTTGAGAGGCTTTTGTAAGATGATAATTCTGAGGTTTTCATACTTAAAAACATTTTTAAATGCTGTGACATTCTAAAGTTAATTTGGCTGGGTATACAATTTAAATTTTTTTTCATTGATTACTGAATTCAATAATGCATTTGAGAAATCAGATGCCAATCCAATTTGTTCCTTGGAGAATACTGTTTCTCTGTCAACTTTTTGACTGTTTGAAATTTTTAAATTCCACTCTAACCATACTATGGATACTCTATAATACTGTGCTTGAATGTTCTAAACAGTAATTTTCACTACTTGTTAGTATATACTTATTTCTCTCTGCTCACTTGAATAAGGACTTAATTTTGTTCACTACTGTATACGTTAGACTATGAACATTGAAACAAAATAGGTGCTTAATGACTACAGACTGAATTATGGTTCTCCATTTTCTAGGCTTTGCCCATTAAACTCATTCCTCAAAAAAACACAAAAACCTGAAGCCAAATTTTCAATTATCACACTATGCCTTGAATCTTTGTGTCTTTTTCCTATCTGTTCTGATAAACTTGGCAGGATCAAATAGGACAAAAGACTTTTTGCTTTTCTCTTGAGGTAAGAGACTTATTTAAGTACTTGGTTCAGATGTCTCTCCATTAGGCATATGTTTATTCTTTAGCTTTACTAAATTAAATGGCTTCTGCCAAGGTTGGGGATAGGGTGGAGGTGTGGGGGAATGGGACATGATACAACCCTCCTCCCTTATCTAAAAAAGATCACTGACTATATCCCAGGTTTATTCTCAAAGTGGGATGTGTGTAGGGAAAACAGATACAGCCTCTATACATTAACTGATACACTGCTGGACTTCACTAATCCAGGGTCACCCATTATCCTGCCTTCTTCCTTACCCTGAACCAAACTCCTCACATCTCAACTGTATCTGCCTGTAACTCTCCGAAACTCTAAATGACCCCAATGGAATACTTTGTAAGACTACAGCTAAAAGCACAATTCCACATTAATTATGAACTGACTTCTTTTATGCAAATGGCATCTTGCTGAAAGTAACGTGACAAATTACACACTTGCCAGGATACTCAGTGCCAAAGATGGTCTACTTCTAAACTTATTAAAACACTGACAAAACAAGCTGCTGTGGTACCAGAATATGTTGGTAGATGATTTTTTTTATAAATTGGTAAATATTAAGATGATTAAGTTTTTACTCCCTCAAAGAAAAAACATTTTGATAATGTGAAGCAGTAACACAAATAAGCAACTGTGTACAAAATAATTTATTACAGCATTATATAAGGTTGACATTATTGTACAGTGCTTTTCTCTCAACAATTACGAATCTAAAATAGCTTAGAGTAAAAGAAAATCATTTTAATTAGAACTGTTTCTCTAAATAAAATCTCCCTTTTGAATTTATATTTGCCTTAAAGGGAAGTATTAATATTACAGATATATTTACACAGTTCTGCAAGAAACATATTGAATAATTCCATTACTGTTTTCTATACAAGAATGAAAAAGCTATCCCCCCCAAAATTGCCTGCCAATATACTGTTTTAATAATTAAGCTAATAAGAGTTTAAATTCTCATTCTGCTGATATAAAAACACATTTAATAGTCTATGTATGACTATAAGAGTAAGGATGCTTCATTATAATTGTATTCTGCTCTATTATACTCTCTTGAAGCATGTATCACTCAGATATAAACTACTTATTAGGACACAAAGCTATTTAGCCAAGAAAGCTTAATTCTTGCCTGCGGATCTTTAAGATTGATCTAGAAATACACAACAAATTTACCAGTGAACTTCAGTGATTAAGAGGCAAACCAATATTAAAAAGGAAATACTAAATCAGGAAAAAATTAAGGCAGAAAAATAGAGCAAAATGAAATAAATTTTAAAATAAACCTCAGTATCTGCCAAAAGGAGTTCCATACTGTTTTTAATGTACATATAGTTAACACTTTAAAACTGATGTGCTGTAATTAAAAAGGAAGCAAATAAACAATAATAAAACAAACCAAAAAGGAACCAAAACAAAGATTCTAAAACCAGGATCTAAAAAAAATAAGAGTGAGGCTGTATATATTTTAACTTAACATGAAATTATCATATTCATGATATAGAAGTGACAGCACCATCACAATGCCGATAATTCTAAAATTTAAGAAAACTGTACAGGTATAAACAGGTAATTTTAACAGATGTTTATGTATACTGGCAGGGTCAGATAAAGAATAAAATAGGCTTAAAGAATGCTCCATTGAAAATTCTATCCAATTATTTCACTTCATATCTATATTAAAATATAACCTGGAAAAGAAACCCTGATCTGAAGTCAGCTTTGAATCTACAGGAGCCAATTTTCTGTGAGATTTCAAATTTCATTTGCCAAGACATCATAGTTAGCCATGTGGTTTAGTGCTGCACTGTGACTGCTGACTTCATCCACAGCAGGCAGGAAAGCAGACGTGAAAGGAAGCAAGTTATGACAGGCCGTCCTGTACTCTTCATACTGGGAATTACAGCTCCCAAAGCTACCATCAAGCAGTGCCTCAGAAACCTTTATTAAAGTCTATTGAAACAAAGGGAAATAAAATAAAAGTTTGGTTAATAATCACTTTAATCAAAAGATGCAATCTGTTCATTAACCAAGAGAAGGCCAACAAGCCCTGGTCTAAAATAACTTCTTGCTATCTATATTAAGTGATCACCTCAAAAAAAGAACATTTTAAAAATCAATTCTGTGAAGCCTTAAAAAAGCCGTGAAATTCTAGTATTTGAGAAAGTGAATCCCTGAAACTGTAATCACTAAAATAAAAGTGTCCTTTATTAATAACAACAGCTCCCACATATTATGTGATTACTGTGTGCCAGGCAGGTAGTAAGCATTTTAGTTTATTATTTCAGTTAACCCTTATACCAACTCTATGAGGAGTATTTTCACCCTCATCTTGTAAATGAGAAAAGGGAAGCTAGGAGAGATAATTTGCCTAATGTGACACAGCTCATAATAAGTAGAACTGGGATTCAAATCAAGGCATAACTCAGAAGGCAGACTCAAGAACTTTGCTGTAAAGACTTTTTTTGTTAGATCACTCAGTATCCATAAATTTGGAGAAAACCAGTTGTAGAAAATATTACCTTTACATTTTTATCTTTTATAGTTTCGTCCAGTCTAGTAGCAATGGCAATTGCTTTCTCTTGCCTTGACTTGTCCAAAAAATACATCATTTTAGCACCTGAAATACCAATACATTTCAAAATGAGTAAACTCCTATGGCAAACATTTCATTTGATTTACACTGACCAGTGGCTTAAAATATGGTTCCAAGTGTTTAATCAGCAGTGGGCTGGATCTGGCTCCCACAGCTCTCAGGAGGCCACTGTGATCATCTCTTCCCACTCCCCATTCAGTGACATCCCACTGACAGCTTTGGGTCACAATGGGAGTATTTATATTATGTCAATACTACAAATAAGGGCTTTTTCTGTTACAAAGAGATGGTTGTTAAACATTTATCAGAAGACCAGATTTAATACCCACCCTCCACAACAATGTAAACACAGGCTACCCTGTGATATTAATCAATAATTATTTTTTAAATGATACCCTAAAACAGGGGTGGGGAACCTTTGTTCTGCCAGGACCATTTAGATATTTGTATCATTCATGGGCCATACAAAATTATCAACTTAAAAATTTGCCTGCTATATTTGGTCGGGCTAATTTGGGGTGATATTAGCTGGCCCGTGGGTCAGATGTTCCCTACCCCTCCCCTAAAATAAAACATCTAAGAAACAAATTATTATCAGAGGGCTGTGGTAGAGAGGCAATAGGAAAATGTTTCCATATTCACAAAGAAAATAAGTAATTTTTTAAACTTTAAAAAAATAAAACCATTTATATTTCTCCAACAAATTACATGGTCCATTTTCGATGCTCATTTCACTGGTGGGATTTTATTTTTATTTTTTTATCCTCACTCAAAGACATTTTTGCATTTATCTCCAGATAGAGTGGGGCGGGGGGGAGAAACATCAATGTGAGAGAGACACATCGAGTAGCTGCCACCCACACGACACCAACCAGGGCCAGGGACAAACTGCAACCGAGGTATGTGCCTTTAGCGAGAACCGAACCCAGGACACTCTGATCCGCAGGCCGACACTTTAACTGCTGAGCCAAACTGGCCAGGGCTGTTCATTAATTTATATTGTTCATTTGTAAGAGCTCCATGTATATTATTAGCTTTTTATCAGTTATATATCTGTATTTTTTCCCAATTGGGTTTTTGACTTTATGGTGTTTTTACTTTTATATGATATAAATGATCTTTTCTTTAGAATTTCATGTTTAGAAAGGCATTTCCCATAATATAATAAAGAAATGTTTTCTTCCATTACCCTGTGTTCTTGAAGAGAAATTCTCATCTGCCCTTACTACCAAGAACTATAACTTCTCATATCAAAACCAAGAAGTTTCCCATTATAACAGAAAAGCTTAGGTTAAAGTATTTAAATCCAGTATATGGCTTAAAGTAGGAGTAGTTAAGAGCATACTTCATTTTTGTCCCCAATTCCCTTTCCACAATCTTTTGTTCAGTTTGTATTTATGCCATCCTGTCATTTTATAAATTTGTATAAACTGCCTAAATTCTTTCCTGTAACAAGGCAGGATATAAATAAATTCTCAAAATACAAAATACATTAAGTAATAAAAATATAAGAAAAAATAAATCACAACCACAATACCCAAAGGCAACCATTAAAGCTTTGGTATACACTTTTTTAGCTTTTATCCCATGTATATTTAGAGATTATACCTTATGTTAATTCTGCATACATTATTAAAACATATTTACCTCTGTTATAACAACTCTTTAGAATAAACGTCACTTATATGATTACCTGGTATTCCATCCTACAAACCCACTATTACTGAACATACATTCAATCTGTTTCCATTCTTTTCCCCATACTCACACACATTTCAGTTAACATCTTTTTTTTAAATTATCACCCGAGGACATTTTTGCATTTATCATCAGATAGAGCGGGAGGGAGAGAGGAGGAAAGAGAGAGAGAGAGAGAGAGAAACATCAAAGTGAGAGGGACACATCGACTGGTTGCCACCCACACTACCCCAACCGGGGCCAGGGACAAACTGCAACCAAGGTACGTGCCCCTAGCAGGAACTGAACCCAGGACTCTCTGGTCCACAGGCCGATGCTCTAACCACTGAACCAAACCGGCCAGGGCTCAGTTAACATCTTTGCACTTAAAACTTTTTCTTTGCATTGGAATAATTATTTAAAATTATTCACAAAAGTATGACTACAGCAAAAGATACAGGTAAAGTGAAGGAAGCTCTTGATAAGAATGATAAGCTGCTTTCTTAAACAGCTGGGCCAACTTACATGGCAGCAGCCAGATACAGGAGTGCTTGAATCTTTTCCAAATAGACAAATAAAAACTTTCCTAATTTGAAAGATCAAAAGTGGTATTGTGTTTATTTATTTTTCTCTGATAATTAGTGAGGTTAAACATCTTTCCAAACTTTGTTTTAAATCACATTCTTTTTTCCATAAACATTTTAACCCTGGGAGCTAAATACCAACCTGAAAGTAAATGCTGAAGAGAGGTAGCGTTATGTTTGAGAAAATCATCATTAAAACTTTCCAAATCCTTGTTGAAAAATATCTTCTGCATTTCTTGAGACAGAACTTTGCTCACAATGTCTGGAAGATTACTATGGTTAGACACTATAAAAACAAAATATTTGACATAAAAAAAAAATTAGGTCTGTCCCTTGAAGCAAAATCAGTTGAAATATCTTTATTAAGCTAGATACATTTTACATAGTACAAATATTATTGCTCCTTTGGAATATAAATACATTCCAGCTTTAAAATACACTAATTTCCAGCATACGGCCAGCATGATTGATTAATTGATTGATTGATTTTCCCACATTTTACACATTTACTTCCAAATTTATCACTGATATAAGGAAGAAATTACTAACAATACACCTAAGACGAAAGCACTTGGCCCCTAAGCTGAGCTGAGGATACGTGAATAGATGAAACACAGCTCACATCAAACCTACAAAGTATGTTCGACGTGATAAACATCACAGCCCTTATTGCCTGAGAAGTGTGTAAAATTGCGAAGTACACAGATGGGCAGTGTGTCACTATATTGATAGGGAACAGAGAAATATGTATTTAAGCCTTGCCTGGAAACAGTTCTTTAGAACATAAAAACCCACCCAAAACCAAAAATCAACTTCTGTAAGCTTTCGGTTGATGCTGCAGGCTCAGCTTACAGAAGTTCCTGGAGTTTCAGAGAACAGTTGGCATCACTGACCTCCAGGTCACAGGCCGCGTCCCCAAGCACAACAGCGGACAGCTACTGGGACTTGCCCAGTGCATCACAAGGAGCCCTACATTTTGAAAGTGAAGTTTCCTCAGAGTACACAGCTTGTCACTAAACATGGGACACCACAGATCAAACAGTGCTCTCTGAAACAACCCCGGCAACAAGGCCTTCACAGAACCATTCACAGCTCAGCTGGGCTTCCAACGCAGCCACCAACTTGTAACATCAGCTGTTACAAGCATGTCCCTCCACACTTCCCATTCTTTTTGTCTTTTTTTTAACCATGTCCCCAGGCAGCTGCATCACCTCTGACATGTCAAGGTAGTCACAGGACCCTGGAATGTTTCTGTGGCAGACAAAAAAAAACACCCGCCTGGAACTGCAGCCGAGTGCAGAGTGAGTCTGCGATAGCAAGTTCTTTGTTTTTTTAAATGTACCTTTATTGTTGACAGTATTACAGCTGTCCCTCCCGTTTTCCCCCAGCATGTTTAATTTATACACATACCTTCATTTAAATGCTATATGTAGACATTATTTTTTTTTGCTTTACACTTTGCAAATGTCTTTTAATGTGCAGCTTCATGGAAGACAGCTAAATTAGCACATTTGCTTTTATACAAATATTACCTTGTTTATACTTACCAGATTTAGAAAATTTAATTAAACATTCATGTAACCATGGGTTATTACTGTTGATGGCAAAAGCTCGTTTGACGGATTGCAGCATTAACAGAAACTTTCCTGTGTCAGAAAAAAAATAAAAGTAACAGCATCGATATTTGTGCATAGTATTTTATTCACTGTATTTTAGCCTCATTTAAAATCCAGTAACAAAATGTTATCTTCCCTATAACATTTTTACACAAAATTCAAAGATGACTTTGGTTATCAAAGACAACTTTTATTTTCTAAAGAAAAGCTTAAAGAATCATGAAGAACCGCTTCAGGTAAACAATTTGATTGTTCAAATTCTTCTTAAAATGGATTTGATTATAATATTCTAATTTATCACCCAGTAAAGTTTTGAGTAGCAAAAGAAAAAAGTATTAGCGCCTTTGTGAAAGGTTGAAGTGGAACGCTAAAAAACAAAAATAGATGTTACTAATAAGATTATACTGAATATGGCCACCAATATAATTAAGGGAGGGCTGGGTGAAAGAAAGAGAAAGAATTAAGCAAAACATGTATATATAATATATACACGACACAAAGACACCAACAACAGTATGGTGACAGCGGAAGGAAAGGCAGGTGGAAGAGGGCAAGAGCAGGTAAAATGGGGCTGATAGGAGACGTAACTTTGGGTGGTGAGCGCAGGATGCATTACGCGGATGATATGTTATAGAGTTGTGCACTTGAAATCTGTATGGTTTTATTAACCAATGTCACCCCAATAAATTCGATTAAAAATTTAAAAACAAAATTCAACCATTACCTTTTCTAAAATATATTTCAAATGCTAATAGATGAGTGTCAATGTTATCAGCAACAAGGTTCTTAAGAGGTATAAGGAACTTGATAGCTTCTTCCAATGGATTTTCTACCTATTTTGAAACAGAAAGGAAAATTGTTATATTTAAATAACAGCTATACAAGTCGAATTTGTCCCCAAATTTTATATTAATACATATCTGAAGTAATTTTGACAGTGTGGGATAGGAAGAAACTCTCCTCTACCCTCAAGGATTTTCTCTTGGTCTAATAATCAAATGAGACAGATCAACAAGAGAAAAAACCCAAATTTAATTACATGCCATACATACATAAGGGATATATGCATACATGAGATAGAGATCCCACATACGTAAGATGTTCAAACACAGAAAGGGAAAATGAGGTGTATATGACATTATGACTTAATGATCACTTGGGGGCTTCAGGAAGGAGGAATATAAGAAAAGCAGATGTTCAATAATTAGTACTTTGCCCTGCCATATAGATAAGCCAAAATAAGTTTATCTCTGATAATCTCTATTATGGGAAAGGCCCCTAACTTAAAATTCTCCTAGGCAGTTAAGGGACACAGAAGTTTCTCTTAAGCCCACAGGGTCTTGGGTGCCTTTAGGCACACCTTGGAGTGACTTGTTCTGAACTCCTACAACAGTTCTTTTTATATAACCGACTGAAGAGAGATATTACACAAGTACTGACAGCCCCTTATACTACAAGCATCTAAAGTAAGAGGACAAATAAAATTGTATCAAGTAACAGAAAAAAAGTAATGAAAATTTAAAATACTTACACTACATTCATAGTAAATAAATTGGGGGGAAAAATGCATTTCCCCAAATCTGGTCCTTAAATAAACTAAATCCTGGAGATAAAATGTTAATTCTTTGTAGTTAAAACATACCTAGCAAGAGATATAAAGTGCTTCCATATTTAATAGACAGTTGTATTGCTGCTATAAGTTTTCAAAAATTTAATGTCTTAAGACAACACAAATTTATTATCTTGCAGTTCTGTAGGTTAAAAGTTCAACATGGGTCTTGCTAGACTTAAAATCAAGTGTCAGTAAGACTACATTCCCTTTCAGAGGCTCTAAGGGAGAGTATATTTCAATGTCTTTTTCAGCTTCTCAAGGCTGCCTACATTCTTTGGCTTGAGGCTGCCTCCTTCACTCCCCTTCCTCCATTTTCAAGGTCAGCAACAGCAGATGGAGTCCTTCTTATACTACTCCTACCTCCTTTCATATTCCACTTTTAAGGACCTCTTGTGATTACATTAAGCCCACCTAGATAGTCCAGGCTAATCTCCCTATTTCAAGGCTAGCTAATTACAACCTTCAATTTCATTCACCACTTTCACCCCTTTGTAACTTAACATAATCATAGGTTCAGAACATGGACACTTTCGGAGGGTCATGATTCTGCCTACCACAACTATAAGTCTATGTATAACATGCATTTAGCCAAATTTGCATTTTATCACTTAAAAATCACTGATTATTATAATGATCTTGAAATATTATTACAAATGGCTTCTGATTTATAAATTTACATAAGACATGTTTATGCCTAGAACAGAACTAAATAACATAAATTTTACTAAATTAACATAGTAAATTCATCTCACCCTTTCTAATTTTTCAGGTATAAGTTCTTCTTTGAGACCACTGGCTTCTTCTTCTTCTTCATCTCTTTTTTTCTTTTGATTTTTTTGTTGACGTTCCCTTTCCGCATGCTTTCTCTCTTCTTCTAATTTAGCCTTTTTCTGAGCTCTTCTCTGCTTGCTAAGCATTTTCTTCAATTCTTTGGCTGACAGGTTGTCTATAAATATCCAAATGCATAAACATCCTAAGTAAATGTTTCCCTTTTCCTCAATGCAAGACATATTATTAGTATAGCTCTCTGGGGGAAAGTGGAAGAGGCAACTACATAAAAATTATTAGAAAGTATATTCTTATGACTAGCACTAAAAATAGTACACAAAAGATAACCAGCAAATGCTGCATTGCCAAAATTTAACCAATTCCAGCCCAGTTCTACCTCCTACACAATAAATGACTTTAGGCAAATCATTTCTTTCAGTATCGTTTCAAGCTGTGTAAACTGGGGCTGATAATGCCAACAATTTTCTTAAGAGTATTTAAAGGATAAGACAGTGCATATAAACACACTTATGATCTCTAAACACTATATAAATATTACAAATGAAAGATCAGAAACTTGCCTCTCTGCTAGTTTTCAAATATTCCTAGATATTAACATTTTAGTGAATAAAAGCTATATAGATATTTTTATTTGCCTCATTATTATTTGCAATAAAGTAGGTACTAGAAGTTGTAAGGATAATTATTTTTCCCTAAGGGGTTCAAAGCTTTTTTCAGTTATAATAATAATAAAAATAAAAATAAATAATAAAGAACCCAGCCCATAGACATTTCTATTTTTCCTGAATTGGTCTTACTGAAGATAAAAATAAAAATACTGCCCTGGCCAGTTTGACTCAGCGGTTAAGCATTGGCCTGCAGTCTGGAGAGACCCGGGTTCGGTTCTCGCTAAGGGCACGTACCTCAGTTGCAGTTTGTCCCCAGCCCTGACTGGGTCATGTGGATGGCAACTACACGATGTGTCCCTTTCACGTCGATGTTTGTCTCTCTCTCTCTCTCTCCCTCCCACTCTATCTGAACAAAATATCGAAAAAAAAAAAATGTCCTCAGGTGAGGATAAAAAAATAATAATAATAATAAAAAATACTGCTAGTCATTCCACTCGGGTGATTTAGAAGCACCACTATAGAACATCATCCTGCCAGGTTTTACTAACTTCCCCCACTTTTTTTACACACACACACAGAAGTATATTGTTTTCACATTCATTTGACAATATACTTTTCTATGTACTGTTTATGTTAATGACATTCAGAAATTTAGTGTTCTTTTCAAATTTTTAAAAATAGTTCCTTGTCAGTTACCTGAATTTATTTCTTGTTGTTTGCTTTCATTGGTTAAGGGATTATCATACAATTTTAAGTATATTTCAATCGCTGATCTAGCAGCCTTGAAATAGAAGGCATGTCTTCTGAGTATATCTTCTAATCTCAGAAGGTCAACATAGGCACGAAGGGTCATCTTTCTCATGCAGTATGTATGGAAGTCAAATTGATCATCGGTTATCTCAAGAAAATGCTTAAAAACAAAACCACGAAATTATCTCTTACATTTTATCAATAATGTCTACTTTTGAAAAGAAAACCATAAAAAAAAAAACCAAAACATTTTTAACAGTCACAATTTCACTTAGCTGCCCTCTCCAATGTTTAACACTGTGAAGGATATCAAGCTCTTCTTTGCATGTAACTTAAGTTTCTCTTTCTACAATCAATGATCATACACTAGAAACCGTATTTCGTGATGATACTCAATTTCTACGTAAAAAGTCAGATTTTTAAGACTGGAAATCAATACATATTGATATTTTAATTTTAATGAAACATTTCTCCTCAGAATTCTCCAAAAATCAACATGGCAGAGTTAAACAGATCTCTGACTTAAGACTAAATATATACTATAGATTTACATAAAATGTTTACAAATCAGACTGCTCTGCTCAACTCTGAGTTCTTCAAGGCAAGCTTTGTTATGTCTATTCCCATTGCCCGGCACAAGGCCTAACATAGCAGACAATAAGCACAATAATGGCCAATTCAAGAAATCAGTTGCTTATCAGGCACGTGACCTCAATTATCTAGAGCCTCAATTACTTGAATTAGGAGTAAAGAAATCTATACAGCCAATTTCATAAGGTTGTTAGAGGTCAAATAAGAACATATTTAAAAATTCTTTCTAAACTGTAAACTGCTATAAAATGTAGAACATTACGGTTTTCTCTCGCTCAATAAGCTACCATTAATCTACCTACATTCCATTTTAGCAAAGGTTCTTAGTTTGGAGTCTGTGTATAAACATAATAACATTGTTCTAAGGAGAAAGCTTGAGGCTTTCATCTCATTTTCAAAGGGTCCATGGTCCCCCTAAAGTTTAAGAACCAATTGCTTTCATAGAAAGGAGAAGGTTAACTCCCTACAAAACAGTTTATTCTTTTATTTTCTTCCCTAAATGCCTCTCTACCTGCTCTTTTTTTCCTCCTATTTTCGCTTCTTCAAAAATATTCAGAAAAACAAATGATTCAACACACCAACACAGAACAAGCTCTTCTACCACGTCACCTTCCCTCTGCCCTGGGGCCTAGTAACTCACTATGCAGAGACCACATTAGTAAGTGTCCATATTATTTCATAATTTTAGTTGTTTTGGTTATTAGAAACACATCATACACAGAATTACATTAAGTACCTGAGACTTTAAAAGAAGAATTTTAAGATACAAAGAAAAGTACACAGTATAGAGGGAAAGAAGTAGAAAAAAAAATGAACACATTAGTTTATATTTACTACTTCAAGAATCATGCTGTCATGGGTGTCATATTAGATCATTGCATTCCTCCCATCAATAAGACAAAGCAATTCATAAATAACAAGCTTGCTTTTTTAAAAAAAAGTTACATATTTCATAAAGTTGTTCATGGTCTTCCTTAATGTCAATCAAATTATGTCTAGCACCATAAGAATATCTTAGAATTCAGTACAACTGACTAAGGAAAATGGCAGTGCCAAAAATCAGATATGAAAACTTGAGATTACAGGACCTTTGTTAGGCTGAGAAACATTTAGGTGTAAAAGGTAGACACAAGTTTCAAGAAATATTCCTAGCAGCATTAGTAAACATAGATTTTAAGCCAAATCTAGGAAGAAGCCTTTGGAACCACAAACATTTAAGCCTCCTCTTTATCAGTAACAGCCCACAGGCTGCCTCTCTCCAGTTAATGTCTTCCACAAATAGGGTAACCAACTCACCCCACTTTGCCTGAAGCTTTCAATTTTTCCATGGAAAGCTTTGTGTCTCAGGAACTTGCTGACCCCTACAAACTGGGATGTTGATCCCTCTATAATAAGCTAATGGTGGTGGACCAGATATGACTAGATTCAATTAGAAAACATAAGGTACTACAAAATAATTTGGCTTTTGGAAGAAATGATGCTTGGAGAATCCTACTTAAAAACAACTAAATAATCTTAGGTTGATTTTCTGTTTTTTAACTTTTTATTTGGAATAATTATAGATATAGAGGAAGTTGCAAGGTAGTATAGAGATGTTCTGTACACTCCTCCCTTGGTTTCCCCCAAAAGGCTGCATCTTACATAACAAAAATACAATATCAAAACCAAAAGACTGACATTGGTACAACTTGTGTGTGTACACTTTTTCATCATGCATAGATTTGAGTTAATGAATACCACAATCAAGATACAGAACTGTCTAATTACCACAAATATCTCCCCTGTACCACATCTTGGGGTGATTTTTAGGTTTCCAAATTTAAAAAACATAAAAATATACTAGACAACACAAACAGGTAAAGTTAGTTTCCCTGAACGTTGGCCACGCATGAACGTAAGATCACTTAGCTCACCGTAGACTCTAGGTACCCAAATTTTAACATAATCCTTATGCCCTTAACTCAATGCTTCCCTCATCATAAACACTAGTTCTCTCTTTTCTTGGGGATGGGGAATAATAGTGCAGGAATTACTTAAATTGTCAAAATTAGGCTTGAATCAAAGTAAGACGAGTCAGCAAAGAATTAAGAAACACTATATATAGCTTAAGAGTACGGTTTTCTTTAGGATGTCTCTATTATGTCTTGTCTTCTAACCCAGATTCATCTACCTACCCATTCCTTCTCAGAGTTACTGGAGTAGACTAGTAAGAACTCACACACAGAAATACAACAAAAATCTCTGGACTTAAAAAATCATAATAACTAGACCAAAGATGGTAATAAGCAACTATTTTCTTTATAGAGAATATGCCATTATAAAGCATGTGCCCACTTGATAAAGATTAAGATGCACTAGAAGATAAAGTTATGAACCTCCTATGGTTCTGAGCTATCAGAAACCCTACATCTTATCAAAAAGTTTTAGAAATATGTATTGTTGCTCTGTTTCAGGTACAAATCAGCACACTAAAATAAAAAGAAATTAATCATCTGAAAAAGAAGGAGAAATTCAATTCTTGAAAGATAAAATAGTTTAAAATTCGCCCTGGCCAGTTTGGCTCAGCAGTTAGAGCATCGGCCTGCAGAACAAAGAGTCTCGGGTTCAATTCCAGTCAAGGGCACGTACCTCAGTTGCAGTTGATCCCTGGCCCTGGGTGGGGTCACGCAGGAGGCAACCAATTAATGTTTCTTTCTTTCTCCCCCTCCCCTCCTTTCCTCTCTCCCTCCCACTCTATCTGAAAATCAATGGAAAAATATCCTCAGATGAAGATTTAAAAATATATATATTTTAAAGGCAGTTGTTTTGCTTTGCTTTGAATAAAACTCAAGTTCTGAACATCAGATAGGATTAGACTCCCTATACATAATCTGTACATATAATCCTAAAATCCTACAAAGGGAGTAAGATAAAGACAGAAAAAGTACACTAGGCCATTCAGAATTTTAACATTTCAAATCCAGTTAATGAGAAACTGCCTCAATGAAAGAATTTTGGAAGGAGTTCTTAAAGGCACAAGACTTAGCCCTTATTTGAACTTCTCTCTCTGTTCACTAACCTTTTATTTAGAAAGTAAACTGCAGTTTTATTTTTGAAAGGTGCTCATTTCTTTACTAAAGTATTTTAAACTTAGGCACAAAAGTAACTCATGCAGATACCTATCATAATAAATCTTTTAATTCAATAATTACTCCTAAATCCTTACAATTATATCAAGAATTTTATTTTAGATTACATTTTTATTAGAAATTAATTTTAAAAGCAAGATCAGCCAGCAAATATTTAGTCACCCTATTTGTATTAAGCACTCACATTTCTACATATAACCATTAGATGACCTAAGTCTTACTTTTAGCATGAATTCACTATAAAAAGACAAACTCACAAGTAACATAAGAACAGACTCTTATTTATCTGTTTCTAGTTTTTTCTATTCTAAAGCACCAACAGCAAACCCTAAATAAAGACAGTAAGAATTCTAGCAATAAGTATGTACAATGACAAGGGTTGTGATTTCTGCCCCATTTTAATCTCTGATAACCAATGATTTCTTATACTTTTTTCTTCAAAAATGCTGTGTACCAGCTTTTGAACTACAAGTACTCTTGGACATGAGTTTTTATAATTTTTTAAAATCTGTGTATAGCCCTGGTCGATTTTGCTCAGTGGTTAGTGTCGGCCCATGGATGGAAGGGTCTCAGGTTCAATTCCTGGTCAAGGGCATGTACCCGAGTTGCAAGTTCGAGCCCCCATCCCAGTCAGGGTTGTGCAGGAGGCAACCAACTGAAGTGTCTCTCTCACATCGATCGATGTCTCTCTCTGTCTCTTTCTTTCTCTCACTCTCTCCCTCCCTCCCACTCTATCTAAAAAATAATGGAAAAATACTCTCAGGTAAGGATTAACAACAACAACAACAACAAAAGATCTGTGTATAAAGTGGACCTGTGCAGTTCAAACCCATGTTGTTCAAAGGTCAACTCTATTTTTGATCCATGATTGGAAATCCACATATGCAAAGGGCAGACTGTAGTTATAAGATGATTTTCAACTGCACAGGAGTTAGCGCCCCAATCCCTTCATTGTTCAAGAATCAACTGTACTTTATCTGACATTACAGAATTTTACTTTGTGTTACTCAGCAAAAAAAAATCACTAAAAATTTAAGGGAAAATATAATCTAAATAAAACTTAGTAATGGAAGAGCTATTAATCATAGTCTAACAACTTTCAAAAATATTAAAAAGAAATTAGTAATATAGTTATTAATGTTAGGAGGAATGGAATTGAAGCTGGAGAAGTTCATAATAATCCTAAGGGTATTCAAATTTCACTTTCCCAGAAAATCTGATAAATTTCCAATTATGGTCCTGCTGGAATTACTGATCCATAAGTAAACAATCTGTCACTCACCAAGCATGTCCTGATTAATAAAAATGCATCTTTCCTAATAACAAACAGAATGTTTTAAAGTGACAGTCATCAAGCTAGTGATCTATGGTTTTATCACAGAAGAGCCTGATTTACACTACAATGCTTGGATATTGTCTGAATAGTTCACTTATCATCATCCAAGGGCTTTATAATTTCAAGAAGATGAGACTTTTTCCCAGAGATATAACCATCAAGCCCAGGCTTAAAAAGAAAAAAACAAAACAAAGCAAAAACTAGGTTATTTGTAAAAGGGCTCAGGTATAATCCTAGTTCCAGTTACCATCAAAAACCACCCCTTAAGATTTAGACTTTCTTTTGGGTAACCTCAGAAGTTTCACATGGGAAAAAGGCCAAAGTGACTGCCAGAGTGCAGACTTCAGGCTCACCTGACTATGATGCCTGTGGTTTTATACTGCGTCAGCATGGGAACAGTGGTGCCGATTGACCCCAACTGAGGGCTGCTGAGGACTGCCTCAGGGGTGCATTTGTGGCTCTTTTCCTCCTGTTGTCCATTTGGAAGGAGAGTGCTTCAGAGATGACAAAGAACAGGAAAACAAAAATTCACACAAAGAAAAAGAAAAGGCCCCTCACTAAGGCACATCACACACATCATCCTAAAAGCAAGTAATAAAAATAAGCCTGCAAACCAGTCACAGACTTCTGTACAAAGTACTGAATGTGAGAACAAATATCCTGGGAAGACAAACTGGAGAGAGGCTGACTACTGAGCAGATCCTGACATAAAGGGAAAAGAGGTGGCCATTAGCTTGTGTATCCTTCTAGGCTAGTAATGAAAATTAAATAATGGCCCGATTAGGGAATAGAAATTTTGAATATATGTTACTAATAGCAATAATGGCTTACTAAATTAATCTCCTTCCTCTTCCTTCAGACAAAAATATGGAGACATGCTAAAATCATAACCAGTTGATGATCAAACAAAGGCAATCATTTATTCACAACCTCTGAATGTTTGAAAGGCTAAAGATCAATAATTTTTCACAACGAAGTTTCCAAAGTAGATAAAAGAGGTAGATGATCCCATGTAGATAAATACCTGCTTTTTTTCATCACCTTACAGGAGAAAAATAAAGTCAAAATTCTATCAACTTACCCTTTCTACTTCATGGCATTTTTTCAAAGCTTCCCCATATCGCCCCAAACGCTGATAAGCTGAAATGCACTCAGTTTGAAACCACATACACTGCATTTCATTTAGATTTTCCATGGCAGATGTTCCTTCCTGAAATGGAAGGATTCATTAATGTAAGAAGTAAATAAAAAAAGCGATCCAAAAAAAAAATCTCACTTTCTCTTTTACAACTATAGCTACAAATATTATGCCAATAGCAATTGACAAATATATCAAAGTGCTACCAAAAAGCTCCTATCGATTTAAAATTAGACGTCTTATTTATCCAGCTCTGTTGGAATATTCAACACTCTACATAAAAGACTAGATTACTGGCCCTGGCCGGGTGGCTCAATTGGTTAGAGCATCCTCCCAACACACCAAGGTTTCTAGTGTTCCCAGATCAGAGCACATACAAAAATCAACCAACTGCCCTGGTTGGTTTGGCTCAGCAGTTACAAGCGTCGGAGGGTTGCAGGTTTGATTCCCAGTCCAGGGCACGTGCTTGGGTTGCAGGTTCGATCCCTGGCCCCTCATATCAATGTTTCTCTCTCTCTCTCTTGCAGGCGTGCACACCCCTCCCACCCTCCCTCCTAATCTAAAAATCAACAGAAAAAGATCCTCCAGTGAGGATTAACAACAAACAAAATAATAAAAACAATAACAATTAAAAAATCAAGCAATGAATGCATAAATAGGTAGAACAACAAATCAACGTTTTTCTCTCCTTTCTTTCCTCTCTAAAAAAAAATCAATCAATATAAAAATATATAAGGAAAGTCCTAAAAAAAAAAAAGACTCCTGATTACTAAAACTAAGCTTTTAAGCACCAAAGCTTTTACTTAAACTATTTCAGATAGCAATCCTATGAAATACTGCCTATTAAGCAAAAGCTACTTAACCTTTCTTTGCTTCCTCAGGGTCACTATTATGTACATCCATTATTGTCAAATCTGTCAGTAGTAGGTCTAACTATTGCCTTTTCATTTCCCAATGTCCCTCCACGTTAGGCTTAGGATATCAGTTGTCACCTTTTTGTGCCCATGTGTCTGCTTCTAACAGTATCTCCTGTTCTATGCCAACTTTTCTCCTATGAGCTGACAAAACCAAATAATGGAATTTATTAAAAAATATTTGTTAATCAGACACACTGTGACTTCTGAGAACAATGTAAGACATATATCACCTAGTTTCAGTGCAAGGGCACTGGAGTGTTGTCACACTTCTGAAGAGTTGTTTCAAATATATTTTATGTGACCTCAGAAAAGATGGCAATTTTAATCTTCAGTTCTATGTCACACCCATTTTGTGTTATCAGTTCAATTTTCAGAATTCTCATTAAATGTATAAAAACTAGTAACTTTAGGTAAATGAAAATAAGAGTGCATTTTATTTCTTCTTTATGGCTATATATATTTTCCAGTTTTGTTTTGTTTTTTTATTTAATCCTCATCTGAGGATATTTTTCCATTGATCTTCAGAGAAAGTAGAAGGGAGGGAGGAGGTGGGGAGAGAGAGAGAGAAACATGGATGTGAGAAAGACACATCAATTGGTTGCCTCCTGCAAGTGTCCTGACCTCAGGACCAGGGATTATACCTGCAACCAGGTATATGCCCGGATTATCAATGAAGACATCTTTGTTGGCCCTTCCATTTTCTACTTCTGTGAACTATTCCTATCCTTTGCACATACTTGTATTGTAGTCTTTTTCTTACTGAGTTTGTGTGTGTGTGTGTGTACTTGTTTCTATGACATCATTCTTACAAGTATTTAAAATTGTCATAATAAAAGTTCAAGCTATTCTGTGGCTTCTAAATTACAAGGGGTTTCCATTAGCAATCAGTCACAACTAGACTCTAGTTAACTTTTAAGGAACGTGGGCCCTGGCCAGTGTGGCTCAGTGGTTAAGAGCATCGACCCACACTGGTTCAATTCCTGGTCAAGAGCACGTATCTGGGTTGCAAGTTCAATCCCCAGTTCCAGTCAGTCAGGGCTCATGGGGGAGTCAACTTATTAGCATCAATGTTTCTCCTCTCTCTCTCTCTCTCTCCCCCCCACCCCCTTCCCTCCCTTTCACTCTCTAAAAATCAATGGAGGAAAATTCCAAAATAGCAGCGAAGTGAATGGAAGTTACACAGACCAGCTCCCAGGAGCAAACTGGAATTACAACTAAAATAAAGACAAATCGTCGGGAAAAACCAACAGAAAAGCAGCTGGAAAGGACCCATATAACCAGGGACAGAAAAAGGACAGATAAACACTGTTGTGAGAGAAACATCAATCAGTTGCCTCCTCTACACACCCTGACGGGGATCAAACCCTCACCCAGATGTACGTGCCCTGACCGGAAATCGAACCCGCAACCTTTTGGTATACTGGACGATGCTCCAACCAACTGAGCCACCAGGCCAGGGCTGTTTCTGCTATTGCTTTTAAACCACCCCCCACCAAAAGCACATGTACACACACACTCAACTTCAGTAAGAAACCATACTTAGGATATTAGCTAAATGGGATTTTTAAAAAATAACAAAAATAAATTGTTAAGAACTTCAGTGGCAAACTTCAGAAATCATCACAGAACTTAAGTTTAATTTTAATAACTCAGACAACTCATGCCATTTCCTACCCTTGTGAACTTGGAGCACATTTCCTCTGCTTCTTTTATCATATTTGCTCGAAGCATGTATTTTGCACATTTGGAATTGATGAATCTATCAGCTGTGTCTAAAGACTGCGCTTCATCCATCCACTTTGCAGCTTCTTTGAGATTACCTATATGCTTTAAGTGATAAACATATTGAGGAAATTATAGTTTAGGATTAAAAGAATATGGGTGCGATACAAATAACAGTTTATAAAGACAAATTAGAAATTTCTGTAAAATTTATCTAGAAGTCATTAGATAAGTTAAAATTTACATTTTCTAAGAGCTGAATCAAATGATTAACACTGAGTACGCAAATATGCAACCTAAAACTCTCTTGGATTATTAGAGTATTAGAAATAAATTATCAGAGTGTCATAAGTTACTTCTATACAGAAATAGTTCAAAGGGTTCTTAAGTGGCTAAATCCTTCAATTATTCAAAAATCATGTCTAGGGTTTTACCTTGTAAATTTTTGCTTTCATATAGAATAATTCTATTAAAGTTGGAGTACTAGCAATTGCAGCATTAATATAATCCAAAGCCAAAGAATACTGCCCAAGTTTATCAAAGTGCTGTGCCAGGAAATACTGAACCCAGAGTAGTGTTGTTGGAGGTTCCTTCTCCCCATTCTCTGCAATCAAACAAATATAAAATTATTATAGGGAAGAAGGTAAAATAAAGAACATCACATACTTTCTCTTCCCCAAAGCATAATGAAATTAATAATTACAATATAAACAGTAAAACAATAGCAAAAATTATCAATTTCAACAGAAAGAGGTATGACTTTATGCCATCAAGTTCAAAAAGTGGCAGCCAAGCCCTGGCTGGTTTGGCTCAGCAGTTAGTGTCGGCCCTTGGACCGAAGGAAGGATCGTGGGTTCAATTCCCAGTCAAAGATGCATAACTGGGTTGCAGGTTCGATCCCTGGCCCCAGTCAGGGTCCTGTGGGAGGCAACCAGTCAACACGTCTCTCTCACATCAATGTTTGTTTTTCTCTCTCTCCCTCCCTCCCTGACCCCCTGCCTTCCACTGTCTAAAATAAAAATTGCAGCCAAGCAAAAAAAAAAAAAACAAGATGCTAGTTTCACAGGCTTCTAACCCCTCTCATTCCAAAGAAACAGTACTAAGGAAAGAAGACAAATCAATCTAACTATGAATACTCAAGGCTGGGAACGTAAGGCAGCAGACCCAGGAAAAGTCAAGGAAAACAGCTTAGAGAAAAGATATCACTAACTACCATTGCAGTATTTCCACAAAGGCAGTAACTGCCAGGGCTTAGCAGTGTCTAGGCCTCAATACTAAATCAGGGAAACACTGATTTGAAGGGTATGAAGCCTATGTGACAAAAGGAGTCACATACAATCAGCTGTTCCCCATCCTGTACCCTCAACCTGCAACAGAGTAGATAAATCAATACCAATCTCTCAAAATAGATTTCAGAAGGAAAGACCTACAGGTATAAATGAGAAAGAGTGAAAAAGAGAATTTACCCATACTACATCAGAAAAAAGATCTCCTAGACTAGCTGACCAAATAAAATGACAATATGCAAACAGACAAATTAGTATAAATTAAAATGTAAATAATAAATAAAGGCAAAGAGCCCAGCATTTATCTTGCTCCTTTTCCATAAACTATAGGTCAGGGGAACGGAATATTTGATGAGGGGAAGTTCTTTATAAGATTTCTAACTAAAATGCAGAAGAAATGATGATTTGAATGAAATAAGGGATTGGAGCAATGATTCTTAGTGGTTGCTTAAAGTCATTAGGTGAGGGGCTGATGAGGAACTCTTTTATTTTGTTTTGTTTTGAAATCTTCACCTGAGGATATTTTTCCATTTATCTTCAGACAGAGGGGGAAGGGGGGAGAAAGAGAGAGAAACATGGATGTGAGAGAGACACATCAACTGGTTGCCTCCCTCATGACCCCGACCAGGGATGGGGATCGAACCTGCAACCCAGGTATGTTCCCTTCACCAAATCAAACCCGAGACTCTTTGGTCCACGGGCCAACACTTGATAACTACTGAGCCACACTGGCCAGGGCAATGAGGAACTCTTCAATGGGCAGCTCAGCTGAAAATGTCTGACTCCTGACCAACCTTAATATCACAAAAAGAGAGACAAAAAGAATGTCTTCTGCCTCCAGTTCTGACAAAACAGGAAGTACAACGCATCATGTATAAGGTATTCACGTGGAACCTGAATCTAATCAAGCCTCTAAATCTAACTATAAGTTTACAAGCAATATGAATATCAAAATACATTAAATGACACCATGAGAAAGCAAATCAGCCAAATCCAGAATATGGGACATTCCACAAGACAAATTACCTTTCAACAAATAACATTTTTTTAAAAGGAGAGAAGGACACTACTCAAGATTAAAAGAGTATCAGAGACATAAAAACCAAGTGTGGACTTTAACTGGACCCACATTCAAATAAACAAATTATACAAAGACATTTTTAAAGATAAACAGGGAAATTTACATGTATACTTGGTGTTAGATATTATGGCATGACAATACCGTGGTTACATTTTCCGTTAAGTGTTTTAAACAGTTAGCAATGCATACTAAGGTACTGACAGTAAAAATAGTATGTCTGCTTTAAAAATACTCCAGAAAAAGAAGTAGACAGAAGGTACTTCAAATAAGACTGGTAAAATGATCGTAACAGAGGCTGGGTGATGGAGACACAAGGTTTGTTATTCTGTTTACTTATATGCAATTTGTTTCAAACTAACAAAACAAAAAAGCAAATGACATGTAAAAGACACATGAAGAAACCAGACTAAAGTTACCATCTGCATGACTGAAAGCAATCTAGTGTTTTCTAAAGTTGCCTTGATTTACATATGCCCCTACAAACAGAGAAACAAAGAACCAAATTATACAGGATTTAAAGGGGGGAAAAAGTAGAAAGAGAAGTAGGGATTCAGTAATAATGCATTTCAATATTAAACTGTCTGCATCATCTTTGGCAAGCCACTCAGTCTCTCAAGTCTGTTTACTCATGTTAAAATAGGGTTAATTCCCACCTCCCATTATGGAAAATTTAAATTAAATAAAATTGAAATGCTCCTTGTATTTCATTCATTAATTCAAAAACTATTCAGTAAATAGTTATCATGTAGCATGCAAATAATAAACATAAGGTAGTTTCACTGTGATTCAAAATGGATTGAAATGAGTAATCATATTCCAATTGAATCTAATTTAAACTTACCATAAGGGCTAAAAAAGTCACACGTTTTAAGAGAAGCTTCATAATTAGTAACAAGCTCCTGGATTACAGAAATCTGTTAAAGAAACATAGTTTTAAATGTTTAAAATATTTTATTGAATGTATTTGTATTTATTGTAAATTAAATTAGATTTGGAAACAATATATATCTTATTTAAAAAGTATAAATTAACTAATTTATAATTTCCCCCTCCCTATGTAGGGAAAACTGAGAAGAAAAAAATAACAGAAAATACACTGATGTCCTTATTAACAATAAAATAGAATCTCATTAATTTCTCATCCCAATAAGTAGTTTCAGGTTTTAAGGACAAATCATCACTAGTTACTACAAAACCTTTTTTCTTCAATAAACAACTGTATAACTTATTATTAACAGTTAATTTATTTGCTTTTTGTTTCCCACTGTTATATTATGAAGTTGTAGGCCATTACATATTCAAATTTTCTAAAATGTCACTCATCATAAAAAAATCAAATAAAATTAAGTCAAATTATACAGTGAGTTGATGGAAAAAGAGGTTAGTTAAGTAAACTCTTAACTAGATGTTTAAACTACCACTGTTTTTAGTGATCACTTTCATAAACATTTGCATTTCAATGCTACTCAGGTAGAACAAAAATATTATAAACTGCACTATAAGTGTGTTATGCTCTGAAAATTGCCAAATGAAAACTGACATGAATTAGAAGTGGCAGCAAGAAAAAAAAAGTAGCTTATATATCCTGTTGATATTAAATGCCTACTGATGTTAACTGTTCCGAATAAGTTGGAAAATATAACCATCTTATTTGTGAACTCCAAAAAAAAGGTCAAAAGTGAAGGAAAATCATTAAAACTTTTAATAGTGTCTGACCAATATGGTATTATTTTAATAGTGATAACTTGAAAGTTTTCTAGTTTTACAAAGTGGGATGCTACTAATAGCCCCAGAAAAAAAAGAATATACCAGACAGGGTAACAATAACAGTAATGAGCCATTAATTGTTACAAGTGCTTTATACATGCAAAGGAAAAATAAAAATAAGCTGAAAGTATACAATTAACCCAAGCAACAAGGCTCCAGAATTTAGCTTTTAACTACTCTGCATTATTGGTCACCAGTGTCCCCGGCACATTTATTACTAAAGGGCAATTCTCCTTGACTCACTGGGTAACATTAAGACCAGAAACTAGTAACAGGACAGTAACCCTTCCTCTATCATTTTTAATGCACAGAGCACCAAGGGGTACACATTAAATCAGCCAGGCTACAAAATAAGTGCACCATTAAAAAAGGGCAAGCTTTAAACACATACACACACATGCACACATGTGAGCACAATGGTGGGGGGATACCAGGGAAAGGCAAGTATGCAAGGGGGAAAAAAAGAGGTTTGGGAAGGACAAACTTACTATACCCTTATACGGCATTAAGCAACACATTTATTAATACACATTTACAAATTGAGTTTCCAAAGAATCTTAAAAAGTTCTTGTAATTTTAAAGTTTTGTTCTGTTTTGGCTGATTTGGGGGTGGGAGTGGTGTGTGTTACAGAGAGACAAACCAGCCTGCCAACCAGCTTCTCTTTAGGAAGTCCTAACAACCTATGTCTCAGGGCTCTGTATACATTATAATTTCTAATACCAAATGCTATAAATAAATTATATCAAATAAACTGCAATTTCCTTTTTCAAGTTTGTGAACATTTATTACAACAATCTAAAAGTAACAAAAAATATAAAATTAACAAAGACTTATTCCATTTAAGAATTGTTGTTAGCATGCCTACAAAAAATGAAAAAGTTTGAGTAAAATTTAAAATAACTGATTGTCAGCAGCCATGGTAAAAGGCAGAAAGAATGTGTATTACATAGTTATAAGTTTTCCTACCCAAATTCACTCATCTACCTACCACTAAAATAAAGTCTGACATATTGCTTACTATTTTGTGAAAACTGAAATTTAAACACTTTTATTTTCAGAAAAACAATTGTTTCTTTTCTTTCCCTAGACCTCTTTACAAACTAACCAAAATTTACTAGTTCCACTGCCACTGAAGAACACACCATGTATCACAAAGCCCTAAACAGATTTTGATATGTGTGTGTGTGTGTATATGACTACAAAATGTTGATCAATCATCACTGAAAAAACCACATGATCATCTCAACTGATGCAGAAAAAGCGTAACAAAATTCAACACCCTTTCAATATAAAAACACTCAACAGACTAGTAATCTCAAGGGACCCCAAATAGCCAAAACAATCTTGAAAACAAAGAACAAAAGCAGAGAACTCACACTTCTGATTTCAAAACTTACTACAAAGCCACAATAATCAAAACAGTATGATATGTGCACATAGACTAATGGAATAAAATAGAGCTCAGAAATAAACCTTGGCATATATGGATAAATGATTTTTTTGTTTTTAATTTTTTTTCTTTGATTTTTAGAGAGGGAGAGAGAGATTTACAGAATCAGAACTGATGAGAAAGAACATCGACTGGCCGTCTCTTGCATGCCCCCCCCCCTGGGAATCGGGCCCACAAAACCTGGGCGTGTGCTCTGACCGGGCATCAAATCGGCAACTTCCTGGTGGATTGGTGTCCGATGCTCAACCACTGAGCCACACTGGCCAGGCTGGATAAATGATTTTTGACAAGGATTGTCAAGACCATTCAAGGAGGGGAAAAACATTCTTTTCAACAAATAGTGTTAGGAAAACTGGATATACATATGCAAAAGAATGAAGCTAGACTCTTACATAATATCATATATAAAAATGAATTCAAAATGGAGCAAGGACCTAAATATAATACCTACAAAAACAAAACTCTTAGGAAAGAACACAGGACACAAGCTTCACAACACTGGGTTTGGCAATGACACCAAAAGTACTGGTAACAGCCCTGGCCGGTTTGGCTCAGCGGTTAGAGCGTCGGCCTGCGGTACAGAGAGACCCGGGTTCGGTTCCCGCTGAGGGCATGTGCCTCGGTTGCAGTTTGTCCCCGGCCCTGGTTGGTCGTGCGGGTGGCAGCCACTCGATGTGTCCCTTCACGTTGATGTTTCTCTCTCTCTCCCTTCCTCTCTCTCCCTCCCACTCTATCTGTACAAAAAATGGAAAAATGTCCTCAGGTGAGGATAAAAAAAAAAAAAAAAAAAAAAAGTACTGGTAACAACAAAAAACAGACAAATTAAATTTCATCAAAATTTTGAGTATCAAAAAACTCTCTACCCACAGAGTAAAAAGGCAACCCACAGGATGGGAGAAAATATTTTCAAACCACATATCTAATGAAAGATTAAGATCCAGAATATATACAGAACTCATAAAAACAAACAAGAAATCCAATCTGATTAAAAATGGGCCAAGTACTTGAATAGACATTCCTCCAAAAAAGACGAATAACCAATAAGCGATGAAAAGATGCACATTACTAATCACTATGGAAATGCAAATCAAAACTACAATGAGATACAACCTCACACCCAGGAGGGTGGCTAAAACAAAACAAAAACAAAAACAGAAAAAACTGATGATGAGGATGAAAAAAAACTCTTGTGCACGGTTGGTAGGAATGTAAAACAGTACAATTGCTGTGGGAAACATTATTGAATTTCCTCAAAAAATTAAAAACAGAATTACTAAATGATCCAGCAATTCCACTTCTAGGTATATATCCCCCAAAATTGAAAGCAGGGTCTAGAAGAGGTATTTGTACATCCATGTTCATAAAAGAATTATTCACAACCACCACAATATGGGAGCAACCCAAGTGTCTATCAATGAATGAGTAGATAAGCAAAATATGGTATGTACATAAAATGAAATATTCTCAGCCTTAAAAAGGAAAGAAATTTGCAATATGCTAAAACATAAACCTTGAGGACATTACACTAAGTGAAATAAGCCAGTTACTACTTGATTCCACTTATATGAGGTACCCAACACTAGTCAAAATCATAAAGACAGAAAACATGATGATGGTTGTTAGGGGCTGGGAGGAGGGAAAATAGAAAGTTATTGTTTAATAGGTATTGAGTGTCAGTTCTACAAGATGAAAAGAGTTGTGGGGGTAGATGATGGTAATGACTGAACAAAAATGTGAATGTATTTAACACCACTGAACTATACACTTAAAAATGGTTACAATAGTAAATTTTATGTTAAGCATATTTTACCGCAATAAATTTTTTTTTAAACCTAGTGATTCTTAAAATGAGATTCTCAGATCATTAATATCAACAATTTTAATATCACCTGGTAATTTGTTACAGATGCAAATATTTAGACCAAACCCCAGATTTACAGAATCAGAAACTCTGGGCCCAGCAGCAGAGGATTTTTAAGAAGCCCTCCAGTTAGTTCCACTACACACTAGAATTTGGGAACTGATAAAAATATTGCAAAAAGACTCATTATAAAGCAAAATTAAAGGTAGTAGACATTTTTAACCCACTACGGCAAATACCATTGCATTAATCTCTTAGAATTTCTATGACTTAAAAAACTTTCTGGCCCGGCAGGTTTGGCTCGGTGGTTGAGCACTGACCCATACACCAGGAGGTCGCCGGTTTGATTCCCGGTCAGGGCATATGCCCAGTTTGTAGGCCAAAACCCCAGTGGGGGGGCATGCAGAAGAGCGGCCAATCGACGTTCTCTCTCAACAATATTTCTATCTCTCTCTCCTTCTCCCTTCCTCTCTAAAATCAATAAAGAAAAAAAATTTTTTTAAACTTTCTAGGCTTAGAAATTCATTACTCAAATTGTCCAATTTAGAGAGCCAAATTATCTTTTCATGAACTTACAGTGCCATCTACTGACACCTGCAAAAAGTGCAGCTACAGCCAGTTTTAAATAAGAGGGTGAAACTTTTTTTTTTTTTTTTTTTGGTACATGCCCCTAGCGAGAACCGAACCTGGGACTCTCTGGTCCGCAGGCCGAGGCTCCAACCACTGAGCCAAACCGGCCAGGGCAGGGTAAAACATATTTTTTTTTAATCCTCACCCGAGGTCATTTTTTGCATTTACCTTCAGATAGAGTGGAAGGGAGAGAGGGGGAAAGAGA